TGCCATAATTAGCGGCTGTTTACACCGTCCTCGTAGGCTTTCTAATACAAGGTCAGTTGTCAGTTTGATCACGCAGTTGATTCTGTAACACATAATCAATCACAATCGTGGAGCAGGAGATAGACAGATAGATACGTTTAGTTTGTATAATAATTTTTATGTTATCACATTTTATTACTGTTATTATTTTATATACTTTCAATTTCAAATGTACGTTTTCCTATCACATTTCATTTCATTTACTAAGCTTTAAAAATATTTATGTAAGAATATGCTTTGTAATCCTTGTCTGCTTGCAAAACTTGTCAGGTTACCTTAGGTTTATTAAATGTGATTATTGTAGTAGGAAAGCAAATGAATAAAATAATAAGACGTAAGTAAATAATAGTTTAAGGAGATGACAAGTTGGCAGCTAAATCGTCCAAATTCCTAAGGGCTCCATAAATAAGCCTGCAATCTGGCATTGCTTAAGTGGCCTGACAAACGATATCTATAATTTGAGTCTATCGCATTGCTTGGAGCCAGCAGCCTGTGGCAGACGATGTCTTACCAACGTTTAGCTTTTAAATAGTATCCTCTGTGAGTATCGCTTTCTTTCGCTTTCTTCGTTTTGTTATTCATTAACAATCAACAGTCTCAAGGACGCTGGGCTCGCTTTTTTGAAATGCTAACGTCTTTATTTGATTACGACATTACGGACGATTTTGTCAAACTTATTTGCAAAAGATCAATCAGTCTACTGAAACATGTTAGCGCTTTTGTTGATTTACTCAAGAAAATGTTTTAAATAATTTGTTGAAAACGAAGACATGCCAAATCCCGCAAGTAAATCACTTTTTTATTATAAGACCTCGTTACATATACTCCAAACGGGCACCTAAAAGAAAAAAAGAAGAATCGAAAAAATTCTTGGAATATTGTTAAACTTCCAGCTCCGAATTTTTTTTAAATATTGATTCAAAGAAATGGGGCCGTCTCTTAGAAAAACTCTTACAAAAATCGATCTTAAGATCGGTGAAAGCGTACTAGTCAAAAAATCGTATAGCATTCTTCAGGAAATGTTGTTTAAATTGAAATTTGAAGTTAATCAAGAAAGAATTGACGATGCATGAGGTGAGGCTGGTTCGAAAAACATAACTTTGAGAAGTATACAATTAAAGCATTAGCCAGTAGAATTTCAAAAATATTTTCGATTTAATTTGAAGGTGCACTTTTTGCACCATACCAGTTCGAACAGCGAAATTTGTTTACAAACTACTCTAAGCTGATAAATTATTGCCGTCTATTAGCAGAATGCGAAATCAAGACTAAACCTGTCTGTCCGTCTGTCCATCTGTTCGTTTTGTTTTCTTACGTTCAAACTACAGGTTTTCATTTTTCAGATATTTTCATGAAATTTGTTATACCCACGTGGATTGATTGGTTCAGGAGCGAACGATTCGGATCGGAGTATTTTTTTGAACACTTCCCATAAAATGTATTATTTGAAGAAGTCATTGTATTAATAACTGTATTAAACGAAGTGGTATGCGATACTTAATTGTGGGCCCCGGCTCGCTATAGTGTTTCTATTTGTTGTTTATTTAAAGCATGTGCGTAGAATTTGAATTTCAGCAGACTAAAGGTGCTAACTAAAACAATATTTTTATATCACTAACAGCTCATCCCTAAAAAAAGAAAAGTAAATTTGTTTGTTGTTTGGTACAATTTTGATTCTGAAAAAAAGAACGTTCTTCTCTTGCAAACATTCAACTTCACTTTATTTAGGTGCATGTCGTTAAAATGGACACGTCATCATATAAAACTTGGAAACGTTTACCATAAACATGGTATATTCCTTGATGAAGTGGAGGGCATTTTTCGTCGTCCATCAGCTTCACATGTCGACTGTCCGCTAACACTCACGCTGCTCTATTGGAATTTGTACGCAATGCAATGATATTTGAGACAATAACAATTTCATAAGCAATAGGTTCACCATTTTCAACATTATAGGATAATGTTGTCAATAATTTTCTTATTTCGTACAAGATCAAGAAGAAATCCAATCCAGCTCTAATATATATCCTTCACTGTTATCGCAAACGTTGCATAGTATTTATCTTTATATGTTTTTATTACGTAAGGCATAATATAAAGCTAAGAAACCTGAGAAACGTTCTAAGCTGTCCACACGCATTTAGCAGCAAAAAGGACTTGACTTTAATTTTAGATTCGAAATCAGGTAATAATAAAGTTTCATGAAAACGTCTTACGACTTTAGGACAAGTTTATAAATATACATATAGACGAATTCGCAACCACATTACACATCCACTACATATATAGTTACATAGAAATTTATCTGATGCAATTTGTTATGACTTTAACTACACTATGAACTGGTTTCTTATGCTTAACTTTAGTCTGATGCGAAATGTGTGCGTTGCCTTTTTAATATATGTTTGTAAACGTTCACTAGTTTGTCCAGTTCAAAAGGTGGAGAGGTGTTAATACTTTATCAATTTGATTTTTATGTATTCCACTGTCTTCATTATATTCTCCTCAATATCTTAGTAACAACTAACATCAATTAAGACGACACTGTCATTTTCAAGGAAATTTGAAATAATTATCTTCACATACCTTCATCCTTGGATGGATGGATGGATCGTTGGTCTAATGCATTCAGAAAATTGAGTTAAAGATAAAAACTTTAAAAAAAAAAAAAAAAAAAAAAAACACACACACCATTACGACATTGTTGCAAAGGCATGCGTACACAGATGTACGCTTCTGCTTGTTGTAAATTTTTTATGTTGTGCTCTGATTTCATAAAGATTCACTGAAATATCAATTAAGATGCATGTACCGTTAAATTGCGGTATTATCGTTTCGTTTCACTGCTTACCAGAATAACTGGATTGCATTTTTTCTATTCAACACCTTGAAGCCAACAAAAAAAAAAAAAAAAAAAAAAAAAAAAACAATAAATAGAAACGCACTATGATTGCTTTTCACTCTAAACGATTGTAATCTGCTAAGTGAGGAAAAAGCATGATTTCTAAAAGTTAAAAAAAAAAACCATAGCCTCAATATTGCCACAATTCCATAAATATAACAGGTCACAACAAATTAGATGCTATACAAGTGGGCAGAGCTTAAGGAAAAACTAAAATATTCGCTGAAAGCCATATTTAGATTTTCACGATACACGATGTACGATGCAGACTGTAGTACAGATGTTTCTTAACACGTTCGCTGCCAAACTGGTTGAGAGTAGATGGCATTTACACACTACGTGTACTGTTTTCGGTACATACTAACAAATTTAATAATTTAAAATAATTACTTTGTTCTTTTGACATGATATGAAAGAAAATATACGTTTACCGCAATTATAAATATTCAAACAACAAAACGCTCCATATAACAAAAAAATATATTTGATTTAGTTAGTAGTAATTAATTTTTAAGTTTTAATATATTAATTAAAAAAAAACTTATTCTGAGAACGATACATGTGGCAGGGCAGATTCAGTTAAATACACACATTTATGATGACACATGCCATCAGTAGCCAAAAATCGTTGCCAACCTTAATAAAATTGTGAACTTCACCTTGCTTTACACTATTCATTTATCGGAGTAACGCAGGACAGCGAAATATATCTTCGCTTGATTAACAAGAAAATCAAATAATTCGTTTTAGTCTTTTCTATAAAACTTCTTCATGTGCCAGAAGCTGTGACATCTCCATATTTCTTATAGTAAAACTCGTTCCCGAAACATTAGCAGTGCTGGACTACTTTCTCCGTTTTTTTTTAATCAGACATTGATGCTTCTGATTACCAATGATTTTACTTGACGATTTTGTGTTTATTTGAACAAGGCTTCCACTTTTCTTCATCGCAGTACGTAAAAATAGGCCATCGAACAATTGATTGTACCTTTAACACTGGACCTAAAAATAGCCGCAATACAATTACAATTTTTATAACTTTTTACCTAATCTATAATAATGCCTAACATGGGTGGAAAATAGAGAGAGATGCTGGAGCGTGTAGGTGTTCGGCAGCTTTTAATGTATTATGACTTATTCCAAACTTTCACAGCTAGCAGCTAATATAGAAAAATGCAATTCAAAAACGAACGCAATATGGCAAAAATTATGGGGTCTTAAGTTTTCTGTGTGATGACGTGCGCCTACCGAATCTCGTCCAGAAAAGACTGAACTAAAATGTTGCAGTTTCCTCGCTGTTTTCACCAAATAATACTGAATACAAAGTATTTGGTTAATGCTGATTTGTTATCTAATCAAGCACAAAATCTATTCTTACCAAAAAAAAAAAAAAAAAAAGGCCCTGAGTAGTTTTGAACAAACAGAAGCGCTTTTGTCAGAAAGATTGACAATACATTCATTAAAATATCTTTTTTCATTGTATTGAAATAAACTCTTCTTCAAAAACAAAATTATCAAAGAGTTGTGGAGATACTGAGGGAATCGATCTAAATTCTTCCACAACTGATAAATTCGGATCATCATCAGTAGACTCGCGCTTAACCGTAATATTTGTATTACTTTTCATGCTTTTATGGGAAATGTTATCGACGGAAATTTTTTCACAAGTCACCCAATGGCTGAATATTCATATGGACTGCCGTCGGTCCGCTATTGATTGAACAAGCATTTTCTGACTAAATGTCTGAACAATTTTACAGAATTTTTTTTTTTTATAATTGTTTTAATTGTTTACCCATTGCAATGGTGTTTTAGATTAGATTTTTTTCACAACCGGCCAATGGAATTAAGAAACAAAATCTTAGGTCAAGATTCAATCATAAATTTTGTAAATGCGAGGGAAAATAACAAGGAATAAATTTCGATACCAAATTCCATTGTTGTCAAAGTAAAGAAAAACGACATCTATTAAAAGTTTTTCAAAGTTACATTAAAATATTATTAGAACCGTTATTCTCATAAGTGATGTGCATAACCGATGATTACCTTCACCTTACAGATAAAATAAATGGAAATAAATTTTGTTTGCGTCTAACGAACGTGTACGTGAGCGCTCATAATCGAGAATCATTAGCAACAGTTACATCCCTAAACATTAAGAAAACCAGAGCAACAGCCTTTAATATTGAAAGTATTATAATTTACGACAGCAAGATAACTATAAATGTAATCAACAGCACAACGTATAAATCAGCAGCAGCAGAAATAAGAAAAAACATCGAAATTACAAATCAACAACATTTACGCCAACATCATCAAAATTGCCATTTAACACCAACATTTAGTATAACATTTGTTGCCACAAAAAATTTCGACAAATCAACGACTGCTTTGGATTGGTGGGGAGGGAATTAAAAAAATGCTCGGTGAACGTTCTCTGCTGCTAAGTGGTTATAACGCAATTGAGAGCGCAAAGAAACCCTGCGACAATAGCAATTCCCCATCGCCAGCAGTTACGCAAGCGGCCATTACACTGACGCCCACATCAACAGCAGCTGCTGCAGCTGCTTACCTTTACCTGGAGAAGGTAAAAAATGAACGAATGTCTCCGCGAATGACGGCAGCGCAAATTGACTCTCTTAAAGATGCAATAATAGAGTCATCGGCAGCGGTAGCGGCTGCTGCTGCTATTGCCAATAACAACAACAACAACAATAATAATAATAATAATAATAATAACAATAATAATAATCACAATAATAATTGTTTATTAAAAAATAAAAACAGTGGTAGTATAAATGACAATATTAACACCAACAAAAGTTGCACAAATAACAACAGTTTAGTCATCACACATCAGCAAACGCAAATCGGAAATATTGAACTCAATAGCATCGGCAAAACCACTATTAACAATAATAGCAGTACCAGTGATGAATTACAAAACCATTCCCTTAACGCGCAACCTCTCAGCCAATTATCAACGCACATTGGTACTAATCATGTAAAAAAGGAAAGACTTAGCCCTGGAACAAATGGCGACTTACATTCGTCATTGTCAAGGTAAGCACAAATTAACAACATTACAATAAATTTATAATTTGACAGCGAATTCCGAATTCCGAATCTGAATCTAAATCCTAATTGAAATCTTCCATAAGAATGCCGCATGTAGTAAAATTGTACTTCAAAATCAAATCGAGCAGTGTTCTCTAATGTATTCTTTCTTATAAATCCTCCCTTGACATGTAAGTTGCGGAGAATGTCAGAGCATAATAACTGTTAACATTTAAAACCAAAAATATATTAAAAGATCCTCTAACTGTTTCAACTTTAGAGATAGCCTATACGATTCTCTGTGAAAGCAGATGAAGAAGAAGCGGATTCGAATCCGAGCTTGGCTTTTCTTTTCGTAACCCAATGCTATAGCTGTAGCGCTCTTTCTGTCTTTCTCCCTCCGCACCTTTCCGTAAATCTTCTTTCTCACACACTTTTAGTCTCTATATTTCTAATTTTGCGGTCTTTCTCCAAAAGGCATTGTGGAGCTTGAATAAATATGTTTTGGATGCAATAGATTCTTTTGATAAACTGGAACTTTTTCAAAGTTTTATCTCTCGTATTTCGATTAAATATTTTTAGATCACGTAGTACGACACCTTCATCTTTTCGGGGAACTTCACCGCAACAATCAATTCACAGTAGTCCGTCCGAAACCATGATACCAATGCACAATCTCTCCTCAAATATACTGAACACGATACAACAAGCTGCAGCAACAACTGGTCGCCATAATGCAGGGCCACCAACGTCAGGGATCAATTCAAGTTCATTATCCGCACTACCCGCAGATTTCACTGCGCATAATTATTCGGATTTTATGCGCAGTTTGGCAGCAAAATACAACAACGCAAATCCGAACGAGTAAGTTTTGATTAATGCAGGAAGCGTCTTAATAGCAATTATTGAATTCAATCGAAATTTTAGTTCAAATAATAGCCGACGTAATGCCTTCTTCGAGATGATACCTAATTCTGTAGCGGGAGCAACAACAATAACAACAACAACCAAAAAACCATCAGCAGCTCATAAAGTATCGTTTTCTTCGGCTTCGTGTAATACATCAACGAGTAAAGAGATGTCAATAACACCCACTCTACCTCCGCCACCACCTCTAGCTTCTTCGGCAATATCGCCGTGCGAAGCGACAACACTAAAACAACCTCAACAAAGTCAGCAAATAGCGGCCGCGGCGGCAGCAGCTGCAGCTGCTGCAAGTAATACCAGTGTTTCACCATTTATGACTTCGTTCCTATCAACGCTGCCCTTTGCTCAAGGTGTATTTCCACCCCTGATCGACATGAGCAGTACGCAAGCATTAATCACTTTAGTAAGTACGAACTTATTTTATGTCGAACCAATAATAGAGACGCAAGACTATTTTTACAACGGTAACTAGCGCGCACTGACACTACAGAGAAAATTTTTTGATTTTGTTTTCATATCGTATATTATATCGTTTACGGAAAAGTAAAAATGTAAGCTTAAGCGAAGATAATAAAAAGTAACAAAGACTTGCTTTACTTGAAATTATATTCGTATACAATCTGTTAGACTTCGGGATTTAAATGTAGCAAGCAACAGGTCTTTACACAGAACAAACTCCATCCCTCTCTCCCTTTATCTCATGTGCAAACCCGTCTCATCTTATTGAGATATGCTCGTTGATATATGTGGAGGAATTTTTACAGAGGCAGATTTAGTGAGAAACAGTCAGGGCCATCTAAATTTCTTTATTTAAACAAAGTTTCAAAATTGGTCATGGTTAAGTCAATGCTATTAATGCTGTAAACTGAGACTGCACCCGTAAATGCAATTTATTCGGTCGGCGTGACAAATAGTGCTCTATAGATTTTGTAAGCTATTCTAAATGTTTAAGACGTTGAATTGTGGTGGGAGGCGATTCATCAGCTTAATGTTTACCAATATTTTCATTTTAGGCCCGAGCTGCCAAAGAAACAGAAATACAAAATGTTTTGCGTTCAGCACAAATCCCAAAAAGATTATCTGCCAACACCTCACCTTCACCTCGTCCTAGTTTAAGTGTAGCTCTACAACAGGCGGCCCAATTTGTTTCTCCTGCTTTAATGTATTCCGCTCAGTTGCAACATCAGCAGCAATTGGCGGCTTCGCAACAATCTAGTCCTGCTCATAGTCGTCCAATAACGGATCCTCATTCAAATGTCGCAACGAAACCTGTACCTGCATCGGCTGGTCACTGTTCAATTAGTGATAAAATTGAAGTGAATGCAACACCATTAGATTTGAGTTCTCAACCGCCACCTTCAAAACGATTTAAAGCCGAATCAATCTCCAGCCAAAGTAGCAGTGCAGACGTTCCCTTAGCACATGCCGTCCAAAGACGAGTATCTTCTTCAACTGTCGCCACGACTCCATCACCCCCGCCCTACATTGCAAAATCTATCATCTCGCTAGTCGGCTCGGATGCCACAACAAGCGAGAATACGATCGCCGCGTATACAAACTACAAAACCATGAATTCAACGCCGGCAAAAGCAGGCCCAACGGCTTCATTAGTAACGGGTGGAGTACGTCAGTGCCAAGCTCAAAGCGAAGAAGTGAATTCATGGTCAGTGGAAGATGTTTGTAGTTTTGTGGGCAGTATTGATATTTGCGCAGAATACGTAAAGGTGAGTGTAAAATTTTTATGAAAATTCTCTCCAAATTCCGAAAATATATTCTTTACAAATCTTCCTAATTTCGAATGCTACCTTGTCGCTACTATTTCTCCTTTCCGAGTTTTTACAAGTTGCCTTATGCCTTAGTGAATATAAATTCTTTACTTTAGCAAATCACCAAATGGAAAGAAGAATCCATGTGAAATATGTTTTTTTTTTTTTTTAGGAGGGACAGACATAATGGAACTAAGCTCTTTAATTTAAAGGTATAACCTTATAACGAACAATGCTAAAAACTTGTACCGACATATTGTTTACCGAAAAAACCACGCTAAGTAAGACGGACATATATCATTTAAGAGCGGTACACTTATCGAGTTCCTGTTGAATTTGCGGACGTGAATTGAAAGTCCGCAATACGGGGCAGCGATATTGAATCGTATCATATGACGAAACTATCCCTTATGACATAGGATATAAGTTAGCTAAACTAAGACGTTGCCGAGAAAGATATTCACATTTCAGAAACTGAGATTGACTCTGCTTCAGTGTGCAAGATATGAACTGCATATAAGGGTAATTATAATTTAAAAAAAGTGAAAGGAGAACCTGCTGTACTGCTGATGATGGCCTACACATTCGTTTACTTGATGATTGCTTTCAAACGTTAACATTGCACATCAAAAGGGCACAAACGATTATCGTATCGTTTTATTTCATATGTGGGAATAAATTAAAATGCAGTCGCCATAGTCGAAGTTAGATAAGACTTTTAAGAATTAATAGGATGCTAAAGCACAAATTAAGCTTTATTAAGATTCATTTACTTTGTGTATATAACAAGGCATTGAGATCAAATTATGAAGGATAGGTCCCAACCACTCACTCATCTTCGAATAAGTCTTGAGAAAGAAACGGTGAATGTTTTTTAACTGATCGAAAAACGACATTGACTTTTAATACGCTTGACAATAGTTGAACAAACTTTTAATATAACCACTCATCAAATTGTATGGTCTCCGATGTGCGTTAGTTACCTCGAACGCACACACAGAAATGCAATCAGATAAATAAAGGTATATATGTTTGTTACATGTTTATAGGCATATGGTAGACAGTTTTTAGTTCACGACGAGTGGACTGGACTGTACACAAACTTGTGGTTGTTAGTATCGTCGCAATTTAGACATTTGAAAGCTATACAAGTTGTGTATATTAAATTTATGGTCACACAGCGGCAATCGAGCTAAACAACCTTTACATAGAAATATCAACAACAACAACAGCAACAATAGTAAAGACGAACATCATTTATATATGTTTGTGGATAACATTGCAAAATGGCCTTTGGCTTGTTTGTCTGGTACTGGCACTGGCACTGGAGACAACCAACGCACTCTAGCCGGCTGCGGTGCGGTGAAGTGCAGGCCAATATTACACCTTTGCTATTGTGTGTTGCTCCAATTGCATGATCTTGTTCCGCATGCTCGCTCTTGCAATGCACAATGTCATTGCAAATGGAAAAACATATACAAAGTCGCAAATACATACGGACACTTACATAAACTTACTTATTTACTTGCTTACTTACTTACTTACATATTTACATACTCACATACATACGTATCTACATACTTAACTGAACTGGCACAATCAAAGTGTAAATCAAACTCTAACTCGATATATTCACATACATAGTGTGGGGATATGCGTTTCCATAACCATACAAATGAACACATATGAAATTTTGGATATTGCTTAGCCAAGAAGAGGTGACATTCATACTCACACGTTGAAAAAAATTATTGCTCTGTAAATGTCATTTGATCACAGTTAAGAGATTTTTTCAAAGCAACAATAGCAACAAAACAAACTCTCTATGTAAGTTGCTCGCCAAAGGTTGTTGTTTGTAAGTGCATAGGCACACATGTACCATCATGAACAATAGCTAACTATATGTGCATATGCATACAGGCGCATACACAAGCACGCGCAAGTCACATAAATACATGTTCATAGAAACTATTGCAAGACATTGAGAAACTGGTACTTTTCTTTATATGCCTTTGTGTATAGATGTGCGAACGCACACACACACACACACACACACACACGTATAGATGAAAAAAAGCTCAGGTTGCTCTAATATGTTGCATAGATAGTTACCCCCCGCGTCCCACGTACGGCGATGCTGTATAGCAAGTGCTATTGATATTCAATGTCTCTGTCCAACGAAACGCATGGGTGGGTTTCTTGTACTCGCTCTTACTCTTATTATTATTGTTATTATTGTCGCGTCCTCATCGTCGTCGGCCGCCGTCATCATCGCTTTTAACTTGTTCACTTTTTCTGGTTTATATTAAATTGTTGTTCTTGTAGTAGTAGTTGCTTAGGATAAGATCATCAGACAGAGATCAACATATTTAAAATAGAGTCATAAGCATTAATATCAAAGTAACTATAGCAGCAGGATGCAATAATTTCAAATACTTCAATCCTTAAGTTTCGATAAGTCGCAATAAGAATCTGTCTTGACAATTGCGTTGATCTGCTTTCAAAAAAATTCGCTTTGAACGCAACAGCGATAGCGAAACAGCGAACCAGCGAAACATCGAACGAGCAAAACAGCGAAGCAACGTAAGCCTAAGTCAAACAAACTAATCTAAAAATAATCAACAACCGAACATGGCCTTAAAATGCTAAACGTCAAATCTAGATCTTAATGCACACACACACACACACACACACACACACACACACACACTCGCAGATACTCGCGCACTCACTCACTCACTTATTCTCGAAAACGAACACACACCGAAACGGGTATTTAATAAAATGAAATTATATATATACATACATACATAATATACACACACATGTACAAATATAAACGAATAAAAAAAATCAGTTCAGGTTTTCGTCGATTTGTTACTATTTTCATTCTGCGCGCCTTTGACATGGCAAATGGCAAACGCTCATGTAGGCGTTACGTTGGCATTAAGTTCACCTGAGACAACAATCACGAAAACATTGTCCGAACAGGGTACCTCTAGCATAGCATACGTACAATACCCGAGATGTGAGTCTGCTCTTTTAATGCAAACGAATATGGATTCTCTATAATTCAAATTACTTCGGTTAAGCGGTCTTACAGATTTCTTCAATTCACTTGTATTTGAAGTTTATGTTTATAAATGCCACCACCATACCTACAATTACGACATAATTCAATTTAGCAAAACCAAGAAGTCAAGCTTTATTCACCACCAAGAGACATATTAACTTTATCGTTTAGCTTGTAACGTCTAAAGAAAACATTAGTTGAGACATCTCTTAGGCGGAATTACTCCGGGTCGTATTAGCAATAATTTCTCTTATGAATTTGGAAAATATTATATTCGCTCGCAATCGAATCTTTTACACCCATCACCGTTACCCATCTTATACCGATATTTAATTTGGAATTAACACGCGCTTAACTTGTCGCATTCTACTCTCCAACTCTCTTATTTGATACCCAATGCTAAGAAAGAACGAATCTTCTACGTTATAGGCTCCGTCATATTTATTTTAAAGTGAACGCATTTTTAGACAAATAATATATCTTCACGTGAAGAATGTACAGAATAATTATCAACATTCTGTGCCATTTTTGCGTTATGAGTAATAAACAGAAAACATTAAAAAAACCTTGTATTGGGGTCGTGCCCTTTTGTCCTTTTAATGTTTCTACCCAACAGAGCCGCACTGTAGTTTCACTACAATATTGCGACCAGGAGAGTGATTACCACAGACAGGCAGGCAGAGAGACAGACGTGCTCGATGTCTGAGACATCGGTTCGAATTTGATGCTGATCAAGAATATATATACCTTACTAAGCTTCTAGAGCTGCCTTGTGGATGTTGCAAGCGTTTCGACAAAACGAACACACTTCTTATCTTTCAATAATAGGTATAATAAAGTCGGGTTAAATTATTACCATCCGAATATTACACACATATAAAATTTCTACTTAGAAGTGCATAAAGCTAAACTTTGTCTTCCCTAATTCGGTTCTTTGGTCAACCCCTATTGCCTGCATGCACTTGCGTCTTTTTGTTTTTTACTTTGAACCAATCACTCAGGCGATATTGCTTGCTTGTGCAATACTGTGTCGGGCGGAAAGAAATGAGGAAAGAGAAGGACATAGGGAAGCGATGGCAGCCTAGTGCATATGTGTGTAATGCCTTTACCGACTAAGCACTTAGTATAACTACGACCCAGTAAACTCTACCGCATTGAGATTTGAACCCACGAAAGTAAACTTGGCAGTCGCGATTGCTACCTGGTCGGCTATTTATCCGGGCAGCAAGAACATTACAACTTACAACAGTAAGTTTCTAATAAAGCCCAGAAATGGCTGATCGCAGTCAGTCTTCATTCATCGACAAACGATACGTTTCAATAACGCTCTTACTAGACACAGAGTAAAATAAAACAAAGTAAAAACTTACCGACAAGTTGACAAATGCTGTACAGGCAAAGGAACGCAAATCACGATAACTGTTTCATCTTAATGTACTGGTTTGGCTTCATGCAAGAAGACATTGTCAATGGAGGAGTTAGAAATTACTATTGAATGGAATTTGATTAGGGTATTTTCTTTAGATTCTTTATAATTCTTCATGTTCATAACTCAAAAGTCACTCAATTCTGTTTCACAATTTTCCGGAATGCGACGAAAAAGGCAGAAAATTAGAAACCGCTGGTCACAGCTTCACAAAGACGAAGCAAAAGTTCAGACACTATTATGTGTACGACTTAAAGAGGGAATACCATGGAAATAGCGGAATTCATTTGAAGGTCGTGATGGGCACAGTAACTATCTATCTTTAATTGTTGAAAAGAGAAATGTAAACCGCTAACGCTGTTAAAAGACGAGCAGGCTGAGCAACCTTTCGAAATTTCGGTTGAGTTGAATTTACTTCAGAGAATTGGTTTACTTGGAAGGAGGGAAAAAAGAAGTGAA